CTATCATATCCCCCCTCAGTCTCCTCTTTTCTAAGCTGAGAAGTCCCAGTCTCTTTAGCCTCTCTTCATATGGGACCTGTTCCAAACCCCTGATCACTTTAGTTGCCCTCCCCTCTCCCACCCTCTCTCTTCCCCCTCCCACCTCCTTTTCCCAGTCTCCCCGAGTTTTGTTCAATAAAGAGAGTTTCTATTTTTGAACACACGCGTCCGTTATTTTGTACTTCAGGAAGGGGGGCTAGGGAGGGGTAAGTGGAAGGAGGTGAGGGAGGAATGGGGTACGAGCCCCCGATGGGGAGGACTGTGGTGGCTCTGTGGGCTCCCCAGGGTGGAAGCTCTCCTGCAGCCCCCCAAGTGACTCCCGTCCCCGGATGGCAGCCTGCGGCAAGTGCAGCCGGGTTGATGGCCAAGTGCTGTGATGTGCCAAGTGTGGGCACTCAGGGCACTCCAATCCAGGACTGCTTTGCTGTCCCTCATCGAGTTAGACAAGCGAGTGGGGAACACCTGAGAACTGTCTGTCCAGGATGGGGGTCGGGTCCCTTTAAGCACAGCCCTCGGCTAGCCTGATACAGCAGCTCCACGCACTGCTTCCGGCCATCCTTAACCCCGGTTCAGGGTCCACTCAATGTGGACATGCTAGTTCGAATTAGCAAAACACTAATTCAAACTAGTTTTTAGGTCTAGATGCACTAGTCTGAATTAGCTTAGTTCGAATTAACTAATTTGAATTAAGTTAGTTCGACTTAGTGCTGTAGTGTAGACATACCCTAAGAGTCCTATGTATTCTGTATAAGAGGAGTGCAAGTACTCCTATTAACAATTCATGGTTGCAAAAGCTTTCTTACTGTCAACTTTATTGTAGTCTCTGCCTAATAAATGGAACCTGGGAGCCATCGCCCCTATTTTTCATACATAGTAACTCATTTACATCTTTTTCATCCTCTAACATTTAGCTCAAAACAAAATTAAAAAGATCTTTAACTTCACCAAACATACTTCACAGATAACATGCATAGATAAAAAGATCTATATTTGGAGGGGTCAGGGAAACTTTAGAATCATAGGGTTGAAAGAGACCTCAGAAGGTCATTCTGTTCAACTCCTCTACCCAAAGTAGGACCAAATCCCTACTAAATCATCTCAGCCTTTAGAAAACAGTCTTTATCCAACCATTTTACTGATCAGAAATTGAGATCACTCAGCAGAGCTTGTTACAGTTTCTCCATCAAAATTGTTTGAGCCCCCCCCAAGTTGCTTTTCAAGTTAAGAGATTTTCCACGAAGTATTTCATCTATGTGTTCATTTTAACTTAAAAAAACCACAAATACCCCAAAACTGAAACACATTGGCATAAAATAATATTGATTTGGAGGTTCTGCTGCCATACCTCATGGGAATTTGGTATGTAGCTGGGGAGCCCAGCCCATACATCAGGGTTAATAAGTGGCCCACAGGCTGAATACAGTTTGCCAAGATTCACAGCTGGCAGGCTGCCAACTGCTTGAGGTATCTGAGCATCTGCAGATGTGGTCGTTTGTAGCTCCTGTTGGCTGCGGTTTACTAGCCATTGAGAGATGCGGGAAGCGGAGTGGGTTGGGCCCCTAGTTCCTGCAGCTTCCATTGGTCAGGAACAGTGAACTGCAGCCAATGGGAGCTACGGGTGTCTGTGCCTATGGAAGCTCGTATAACTAACATGCCTGGTTGCCTTCCAGGGACTAACTCTGATGAACCGCATCCAGCCTGTGGGCTGCTTATTGCCCATCCCTGGCATACATTTTCCACAATGGGAGGGATTTTCAAGATGTGTCAGTGTAGTCTGTGCATTACTTTTGAGTAGTTTTCTTTAGCTGTTAGCACCATTTCATAGCTTGTCCTAGTAGTTGGAAAAATTACCAACCAGTTCCTAACTAAAGAAATTAAAAAAAGAAGAAACAGTTCAAGACAAATTCTGAAGAAAGGAATCAATGTAGGTTCATGTCCAGTCAGTTGGAGGAAGGGAGGAAATCACACTTAATTTGTAGAAGAGTGTCCTCAAACCAATACCCAACTACAAATTGACTGCAAAGTACTAGAAGACTAAATATTACTTACATGTCTTGAATGTTTAAAAATGTATAACTCTAAAACTTTTTTGGAAGGATAAGGAGAATTATTGGATATCTTTTACTCATTCCATTTATTGTAATTTGAAAATTTAATAATCTAGGCTTCAGGTTCTTGATAATTTCTCTAAATATCACACAATTTGCTATTTTTGGAGTAGCTGAATTTAGAAAGCCTAATAAACCTTGTTCTCCTTTGGTTATATCTGAACTGGGCCAGATTCAGGGCCTTCTTGCTTCAGGGACTCCATCTATGGAACTCCCTTCCTCTTGAGTGTCCATTCTTATTAATTCTTGTTCTGAATCACCAAATGCATGCTTCCTCGTGGTCTCTCTAGGCAACTCGATTGGCAAAATCAGACAAAGCAGATCTAACAGTACAAGGCTTTGGTTATGGTATTATTATGTAAGTTTACAACAGTGATCAGAGACACCAAGAGCCTTGCTTCATGTCATATAAATTAGAGGTCAGTCTTCCTGGGATGTTGAACATAATGTAACTTTGACTTCTGACTTTGAGTCTTCCAAGTTGTCTGGAAATAAAGAATTGTAATGGAATAAAATTAGCTAATGGCTTTCACATTAACTTATTTTGTGAATCAGAAGAAGCTCATTAACAGACTTTCTCTCTCCTGAAACAGCTGGGAGCATCTGATTGGTGATGAAAAAGCTGCAGCAGCTTCTGGCTAATATACATAAAAATTAGAGTGAAGCATATGCTAAAATAACTTGTTCTTTGCTTTATTTTTTTCATGATGTAATGTTGGGTCAATAACTTGTTCCTGGACTTAATGTCTTTACTTTAAAACGAATCCCCATACATATAAAACACCAAACAAGCTGGATGTTAGCTTGTAGACGTGTAACCCATACACCTGCTAACTTTTAGATCAAACAGTAGAGGGCTCATGCACTAAGCTCTGGAGGTTCCAGGTTTGATTCAGCCTGTCAGCATTACAAGTGGGGGCTCATCTGGAATTTCAATTGGGAAGTCTCTGAAGCTTGGGAATGCTTCCTCAGCTAGGGGAACTATGAAACCCACACACCTACTGGGTACAATGTACTGCCCATGTAGTAGCACTTAAACCACCTACTGAGAGAAAGAAAGAGTATGTTCTCTACAGCCTGACCTGAGAACTGGCTTTTAGCTCAAGCGATAGAGGTTCACATGCTAAACTTCAGAGGTCCCAGGTTCAGTTCCACCTGTCAGCATTACAGAAGCAGCCATACTTACTACACCATGCATCCTTCTGCTAATACTGGCAGGACTGTCACTTTTCCTTAAGATACTGAGCAGGTGTGTAAGGGGGCATACGTGACTGCCTTAGGCAGCCTGCTCAAATCACTACTCTGAGTGTGGGGCTGAAAGTAAGCTCTATCATTCCTCTCTCCCCAAGCAAGTGAGTGGAAGTGGTGATAGAGAAGTGAGGAATGGATGGAATCACGTTTTTACTCTCTTATCCTATGCACTGACTAGCTAACTGAGTTAGTTTGATGTGGGAAATATACTTTGTTTTGTAGATTACTGTGTTCTGTAGACAAAATATACTGTGTTCTATAGCAAAGAAGTAATGGGGATAGGCCATCCCTGTGCTAGGAAAAAGGAAAAAGTCTTGAGGTCCACAGTTTTATTCTTTTCTTATATCAATTATGAGGTTTTGCTTGAGCAAAGATGTAATAAGGATATCACTATTTGGGTAGAAAAGTAAATTGGAATCTATAGTCTAGCTTCTGATGGTTCTAAAGATTTCCCAATTTATTAGAACTTGTGTATTATACAAAGTTTGATGTAATGATCTCACAAAGGAAGGAATCCTGGGAACTTTTCTGGAATTCAAGTCTATTTTAGTACTCTGAGATAAGTCATTTAATGGATCAGTTTGTACTACTATCTTAGTTCACTGGGTAGGACTGTGTGCTTATAGTATACTCAAATAATATATGAAATGCATTTAAATTAGGTATATATGAAGCTATGTTTTAAAACTTTGATGGAAAACAGTTTTTAAGGATCAAAGTTAAAGATGCAGCAAACCAGTATTTGACCTTACTCAGATGGTGATCAAACTAATGGTCAGCTGTCTTTGTCTGTTTTAGGGGTGAAATCACATTAAGACTTGAAACATGAATCTAGACTCTGTCCATAAGTTATCTGACAAGACACAGATTTTCAGGACTCAAAGACAGTCTTATGAAGTAGCTGAAGGTAGCAAAGCAACAGGTAACATCTGTAACTCAAATTTACCATCTCAAAGGATCCATTCATACTCGTCTCATCATCCTTGTTTGCATATTAGTAACAACAATGACTGGGAGGTTTCTGAAGAGCTCCGACTTCGGGAGCTGGAAGAAGTTAAGGCTAGAGCTGCCCAAATGGAGAAGACCATGCGCTGGTGGTCAGACTGTACAGCCAACTGGCGGGAGAAATGGAGCAAAGTTAGAGCCGAAAGGAATAAAGCCCGGGAAGAAGGGAGACAACTGAGAATCAAACTGGAGACTACAATGAAGGAACTAAATGCACTGAAAAAGCTAAACCAAGACTTACTAAGTGAAAAGGAAGAGTGGAAAACTGAAGTCAGTTGGGAAAATAAACCCAATTTCTCAGAGGTACCCTGTATGAGAGAAAAGGAGTACCAGTTAGTGTGCCTGGAACAAGAGCCTGTTAAAGATGTGATCAAAACCAAGATCCTTGCAGTACAGGAAACGCATAAGGTAAATAAATACATTTATTTCTTAAAAAATCTGCATTTTTAGCAAGTCTACATAAGGTCTACTTTTCTACACTTTATGCCTGTCTCCACTCCTAAAATTTCAGGCCATAATGCTTTGTTTATATATAAACTAGAAGAACAATTTGCATTATCAACTGTATGTAAACAGTTGCCATTGGGCAATCACATTAAAAATATGAGAGGATAATTTGGACTCCCCTGTGACTTTTATATTTTTTCCCCTCAAATAGCAATGTAGATTTTCTGGTGTCCTGTCATTAATGGTTTATGAGCACAGGTAAAACTGACACTGAGTGAAATGAGTAATCTTGATCTTCCAAAATTCTCCCTGCCCTTCACAGTTAATTCTAGTGAATAATTTTGAGCTTCTTGCAGGAAGGAGAAAACATCCCGTCTGCAGAACAGGAATGTTTTTAAAGAGTCAGGATTGTAGCTTCTTTGTTTCTTGGTTATATAGGATCAGTAGGTAGCTATAGACTCTTAGTACTGTAAGTGGAATAGTTCTATATGACATTTGCAGCCCTACAATTGCCTCTTTTAAAATAAAGAAACTTGTTTTAGCAAATGGGACTGTACCTTCTTCCTTTTCCAGTATTCATTCCAGGCCTGGATGTGTATTATACACCCGTTATAAAAAGAATAATCAAAGTTCACTCAATTCAAAGTTTACATTGACATGAATAGACTATGAAATAGGGCCTTCAACATGTACATCTTCTGTCAGAATTTCCATTGGTTTGCTGCTCCTGTTAGGTGAACTACAGTATGTGCTGTGAGCCCTGAAAAATTGCATTGGAACTTGAGAATCAACTTGGGGGGGGCGGGGGGAATCTGACGGATTTATACTTTTCATTTTGTGTATTTCTTCTGTGTGCACGCTTAAAGAAGGGGCTTAGACATGAGGCCAAATAATTCGCTCATGAAATTCAATTTGTCTCAATTATATAATTGAGTTACTCCATTATATAATTTTGGCCTAGAGTTTATTATGAATTCTAAGATTTTTACAGCTATTGGAAAATTTAATTTGAATCTTATTCAGAAGGATTAGACAGTGATCCTTTATGGAAGATTTTTAAGAGCAGTTTAGACAAACATTGTAAATGGTACTTGGTCCTTAAATGGTACTTGATCCGTCCATGAGTGTTGTGCTGTGTTATGATTTGTATTATTAGTATTGTTATGGGTTTTTTTATTTATTATCATCCAACTTTTTATTAGGCTAACTTGACAAGTGGTTACATCATGTAATTAAGAGAATTCTCATTTACTCCAGGAAGCAATTTGCTGAATTAAATACAAAACATTATATACCTTAATTATTTTTACATAACAGATCCCTTTAAAATTATATTTGCAATACTGACTTTAAAATGGTAAAGTGATAATGCAAGGGTATACACATAAATCTTTGAATCTATGCATTTAATCTCCATTGACATCCATAAAAAGTATAGTAATTCCCTTGACTTAACTATTAAACATACATACTTTGAGCAGTGCATTGGTCTTTGTTATAAAACAACACAGCTACAGTTGTGCTATTTGTTATTTAGCTATCCCATTTAAAATGCAAAAGCATAACAATGCAAAATTCAAGTCAATGAGCATCCAAACATTGTTTTCTGTTTACAGTCCAGTGGTGAAACTCTAGCCTACAGATTTTCCATTGACCTCTTCAGGGCTGGAACATTACCCGAAGTCTTGAATCCTGAACAGACATATGTTAACCGTGTGTCAAAGTGACCACAATATGTAATGTGATGCAGATGTGCATGTACATCTGCAGGATTGGGGCCATCTACACATTGAAACTTTACAGTTTGTGTGTTGAAATTGGTTGTAATATCCATGTACCTAATTTACAATGTATTTTGTAATTTCATGCATCACATTAAAAAGTTTTTATAATGTCTAATGAATGGAGTTGTCAGGAACAGTACAGAGGTTTACTGAGAGAAACTGAATTTGCTTATAAACTAATTGGAGGAAACCCAATTTTTTTTTTTGTATTTCTGAAGTTAGTTAGATTTCTCTTGGGAAAAGTTTTATTTACTTAATATGGGATTACATTTGTTCCCACAATTCTTTATGCATAATTGTTTGCCTTCCCCAAACAGAAATGCTTTTAGGCACAAACTCTGTTCCCTTCCTCTGCACTATTTCTGCCCTCCTATCCTGCCCCAGAAAAAATGAAGCTGATATCAATGGGATTTGTATTAAACTCTTCAGGGTCAGATCTGGATAGTTATGAAAATGCCTCTGGAGTTGGATCCTGGGATAGCCCAAAGTGCAGGATTCATTATGTGGTCCTGTACAAAGGTGAAACTTGATGTCCTTATATACTATTTGGAAAGAATGTTTCAGTGCCTGAGAGAAATAGATTCTTAGTTTCATGCCACCCTTGACAGACACAATCTTTTTATGGTGTAGAGTACCATCAGCCACACAAGCTGATCATTATTGACCTCATTCTATCGGCCTCTCATATTGATGTGCAAGATGTGTGATTCTTCCTTCTATGAGGCTGTACATGTTTAAAGAACATGGTAGTCCTTGTAGACTTCATTATGAGATGACTGTTCCTAACATATGTTTGTCTTTTCTGCTTAGGATATTTTGTTCTTTACTTTTTTTCCCTCAGGATGTGGAGACAACTGAAAACATTTTAGGAAAGAATGAAGGTATAAGATTCAATGTGAGGCTCATGGACTCCTTTGCTCCTGGCATTTGTCTGGAAAAACCTAAACAAAGGCTTGAGAGCCTAGTCTATCCTTTGGAGAATGAATTAATCCAAGTTTCTGCTTTGCATTTACAATTGGATGAGTCACAGAAAATCTTACAGAAGGAAAGAGAGTAAGTACAAAAAAGTCACTTAAATAAAAACAGGGTTCTAAAATGGCTATATGAAATTGCATACATTTATTGTTAAAATATCTTTAAATATTTTAAGAGGAAAAAATGTAGTATAAATATATGCCTCTAAACAGAAATTGACTTAACTTGAAAATATCTAAAGATATTTTAAGATGCTTGTTTTATATTGTTCACACAATATATTTGCATTTTGTAAAATTTCCCAATATTTTGTGTGTGAGGTGTCATAAACTTGACACTCTATATGGCTTTCTGGAAAAGTGTGATGTTGGAATGGTCCAAGGATGCCTGCTTACTATTTGCTATTGGTATTACTGTATCTAGTCTTTGGTATGTTTAAATTACCAGAATGTATTCTACATAGCATTACACTTGCAAGCTTCAGCTAGTACAGAATCACTACCTGTATGCTCCATGATATAAGGCTTTGAACTGAAAGTTGCTACACAGGTACAAATTATTAATAGGATAACTTAAAACTAGAAAAAGAATACTGATTTTTCATTTCAAGACATTAGTCTGAATAGGAAATAAGATGGCAGATGAAATTCAGTGTTGATAAATGTCAAATAATTCACACTGGAAAACAAAATCACATCTACACATATGACATGATGAGGTCTTATGACTAGGTGGACCAGACCCTGAGGCACCTGCAGGAGGCTTGTGGCCTTGCCACACTCTGCCCTAGAAGAAAAGGACAATAGAGAAGTCCTCCAACTGAGTTAGAGTGGCTGCAGGAGGAACCAGCCTGTCAGGGGCCAGGAAGGCCTATAAGAAGAACCTGCAGGACCAGATTCAGCACAGCATCTCTGGAGCTCTGAAGAAGTGAAGTTCACGGCTGGCTGGCTGGCTGAGGGAGCAGCAGCACCACAGAGAGCTCTAAGTAGGGAGCTTATTGTGGACTATGGTGAGACTGTGTTGGACTGAAATCAGGCCCTGAGGTGAGGGAGTGAGGAAGCTTCCTCCAAGAGAGGAATCCCTGAACAGACTAAGGGGGACACTCACAGAGAGCAGCAGGATGGGCCCCTGTTAAGTTTGCACCCTGAAAAGGCTTTGTGATTCAAACACAGGTTGTGTGACTCTACCAGAGGGCAGAGTTGCTAAAGAGGCTTTTGGCTTTGGACAGAAAGAGTCCAGTCACATGCACTCAGCCAGACAAGGGCACTCGTGAGAAGTGAGTGCCACCACATTACAGGTCTAGATTAGCTATTACCACTCAACAGAAATGTTGGAGTCATTGCAGATCGTTTTGACTATCACTGCATATTAAATAGATGTTTGCAAAGGAACTTTCAGAATGTTGGGTCTCACTAGGAAAGGAATAGATAAGAAGATATAAAACATCATATTTCTGCTATGTAAATCCATGTTATGCTCAGATCTTGAGTACTATGTGCAGATGTAGTTGCAGGTAGTGTGACTTGGGGCAGGAGTGCAGAGGTTTGGATTGTGACTAGGGAAAAGAGTGCAGGAGAGGTGCAGAGGATTTGGGCTGTTACCTGAGTTAGGGATTTGCAGTGCGGAAGAGTCCATCAATGGCTATTAGCCAGGGTGCGCAGAATAGCAAAGCCATGCTCTTAAGTGTTCCTAACCTCTGTCTGCCAGAAGCTGGGAATGGGTGATAGGTAATGGATCACTTGATGAATGCCTGTTCTGCTCATTCCCCCTTAAGTATCTGGCATTAGCCAGTGTTGGAAGGCAGGATACTAGACGAACCATTGGTCTGTCCCATTATGTTCATTCTTCTGTTTAGTTCAGATAAGTAGCAAATGTCTGCTATATGTTTGGTGTTCTGAAGGAAGAGACTTGGTGATCTTCTAGCTGGTAGGAGATGGGTCTGTATCAAAGCCATAAGTGGGAATAAGGAATTACCTGATCATCCCAGTGGGTAGTCCATCTGGAAAAAGGATTGAGGGACACTGAGTGGCTCTTGCAAGAGAACTTAGTGTGCGCTGTACCCATGGAATCAGAAAACTTCAGTCCCCAGAACTATTGCTCCAATAAGAGCTTAAGTTAACTGGAAAAGGAAGAAAATTTCCTCTCCTCAACAACAGCAGAAGTGGATTAAACAATTTCAGTTCAAAGAATCAGCGACAATAGCATACAATGGAGCAATGTTTTCCATCCTTCCTTTTTTTTTCTCTTGAGGATATTGAGGGTGTGTTTGTTTATGGATCAGTTTTGGCATGCATTCTGAGCAAGACTATCACACAGCTATTTTTTAATAATAACTGAATGTTTCCCAAGGACATAGTGGCTGTGTTTCTGTGAAAATCTGTCTACTTTCTTAAACTCACCACAAAGCTCTGCAAGTGGGTGGCTTATATTGATAGTCTCAAGAAAATAACAGGTCTTTCAATGCTGTAATAAAACCAGTATGTGCTAATAGTTTAGGAATCTAATTGTTCTAAAACACTCATGTATCATCCGAAAATGGAGTCTTCCCTGTGAACGATACCAGTTTCTTAGATTCTGTGGTGTGCTGAGTGTGTCTGTATGTGATAGACATGTCAACTCCCATTGATTCCAAGACATTTAGAAGGTATTCAGAACCTAGCAGGAGGCACTAAGTACAGGTCTAGCATAAATAGAAAATTAACTCAGAATCAGGAGACTCAGTTTCTATTCTTGGTTCTGCCATTTGATCTGCAGTTTAACCTTGAGTAAGTCACTTCACTTTTCTGTGCTGGTATTTTCCCCTCCCACTCTTTATCTGCCTTCTTTATTTAGATTGCAAACTCTTCAGGGCAGGGACTGCCTCTTATGTGTTTTTGTACAGCATCTAGGCCAATGGAACTACAGACTTCAATGAGAGCCTCAGAGTTCAGGTGCTACTGTAACACAAATAATAAATAGTACATCCTATCCCCATTTGTGAGCACAGTGTACAGGAATGCACCACTTTTCATTGATATTATCTACATAAGCCTTTCAATATGTATTTTTGATATAGCTACCCAAATAGCACATTTTAGACATCATTAGAAGTTCCTCCTTTAATTTACAGTTTCACCTTTTTGCTGTCTGCTGTGTTTAATGTCCTTTCTGTTTTGATAATTCACTTTCATTTCTCTTGCAAGGTCAGGATCACACGTCTCTTTATACATTGGAAAGGTGTGACTTCATCTCTTTTGCTGTCCTGTGCCTCACTGTCTGTTGTTTTTTATTTTTCTTCACCCTTGGTTTCTAATTAGCCTGGTATCATCATTTTAGCCTTGACTGTGCTAATGATGGCTTAATTTATTATGCTGATGTTGATGGCCTGTGAGAGTAACATTACTTTCTTGCGGAATTAACTATTATCTGAATTTTAAAAATTTTCAAAAACCAAATTGGCTACGTCTAGATTGGCTATGCAGTAATTTTAAAAATTTTCAAAAACCAAATTGGCTACATCTAGATTGGCAAGTTTTTCCATGAAAGCAACTGCTTTCGTGGAAAAACTTGCCAGCTGTCTATACTGGCTGCTTGAATTTCCTCAAGAACACTGACGATCTCATGTAAGATTGTCAGTGTTCTTGCGGAAATGCTATGCTGCTCCCGTTCGGGCAAAAGCCCTCTTGCGCAAATGCTTTTGCACAATAGGGTCAGTGTGAAAATGGCGATCGGGGATTTCTTGCGTAAAACAGCGTCTTTTGCGGAAAAGCGTCCGTGCCAATCTAGACGCTCTTTTCGGCAAATGCTTTTAATGGAAAAACTTTTCCGTTAAAAGCATTTGCGGAAAATCATGCCAGTCTAGATGTAGCCATTGTGTTTGGTAAGGGGCATCCAAACTACTGGCAGACTACTCAACCTGGTTCCACTTCATTATTAAGAAAAGTGGTGAGACAATGTTATTTATTAGTTGTATAACCATATGGCTACGTCTACACTGGCCAGTCTTGCACAAGAACATGTGCAAATGATCTGCCATTTTTGCGCAAGCGACTTTTGTGCAAGAAGGAGCAGTCTACACTGCTCCTTCTTGCACAAGAGCCATTCTGCCTGAAAATAAACAGGGCCCCTTGCGTAAAATGGTGGCTCATTAAGTATGCAAATGAGGTGCAGCGATATTCATTGCTGTGCCTCATTTGCATATGTTCTAGTGCAAAACTGGCCAGTGTATACATAGCCATAGTGTTTAGGAGCCTTAATCATGGTCCAGGATGCCATCGGGTAAGGCAGACACACAGAATAAAAAGGTGCTTTTGCCCAAAGAACTTACTGTCTCAGGATAAGACAAGTGAACAGATGGACAGCGATAATATTGGTAAGCATGATAGGCAGTGCATTGTTAAGTTTTTGAAGGCACTGTGGAAAATGACTTTTCTTATCCCATCTTTATTTAACACTTAGTAATAGGTGTATGTGCCATCTGGCACTCACATCACTATATATCAATAAGAAAAGCACTTAGAATGTACAAGATCTGTTTAGGTTTACTTCTTGGTCAACTAAAGTAATTAAAAATCCATCTTTCAGCATGGGTTGATAACAATGTTCATAAAATGTGGCTCTAGTCAACACAGTCTTATCACATGAATGTTGCCATTTGTCAAATGCTTGGTAGATTGTCAATATTAAAAGACAAAGGCATTCCTATGCTATAGAATTGTTATTGCTAATAGACGTCTGAGGGTTTTTTCTTTTCAACTATTCCTCTTATCTGGTCTTATAGTCCTTCTTTGTCCCACGTGTGTTACAAAACACCTACAATTATAAGACAATTTTTAAAATTTTGTCCTCTAGCATCCTTCCTCTACTTACACTACGTTGACATCTTCCTCATATGGATTCACAGGTAGGAGACCCTTGAAGAATTCCACAGGGATTTCAAAATTTTCCACCCCACCATCAACCTTAGCCTGGATGAGTCCACACGAGATCCACTTTCTTGACACTATAGTACAATTAAATAATGACCACATTAACACCATCCTATACCGGAAACCTACTGACTACTTGTGGCTAGGTCTCCTGGGGTGGCCTACTGGTTAGGTCCAGTATTAACTAGGGAACCGGGCTGTAGGACTTCCAGCCGCTTATCAGAGTCTGTTCCTTCAGTTTGGGGTGTGGCTCCAAGAGTCCAATCTCCCCCTCCTCAGTGGGGTTTTCCTTCTGGTTCTCCCCCTTTGTGCCAGGGGGAGGGGCTGGAGGCTTGTGTCTTGCGGCTGACCCAGCAGATATCTCTGGCTCAGGTCCTGCGGACAGCAGAACCAGCTCTTGCATTTTCGCTGGTCAGCCCCTAACTGGGCTAGGTTCCCTCCTTTTATTCTCCCACCAGGCCTGGCATTGGCTGCAGGTAAAACAGGGCTGGGCTAATTGGGCAAAAAGATCTTGTTTAGCCCCTGCACTGCCAGGCCCTCCTCTCACTCCCTCACCAGGGCTGGATGAAGGCATAGGCATGCCAGGCAGCTGCCCAGGGCGCCAACCATTGGGGGGTGCCTGATGGCAGCTGTAAGGGACACGCAGCGTCCCGTTCAGCTGCCATCAGGCGCCGCGCACCCCGCTCCCACAGTGCCGGCCCGCCCACATCCCTGTGGCACTGGCCAGCAATGCCCTTCCCCCCACGGCCGTGGGGCCCTACACGGCCCATCGCACGCACCAGCAGTGACAGCTGGGCAGCGCTTGCGCTGTGTGCCCTGGGGGTGGGTCTCAGGCTGCAGGCCAGCAGCCGTAGCCGGGCCGCACATGCACCGTGCGCTCCCTGGGGGTGGGCCTGCGCTCCCTGGGGGGGGGGGGGGGGG